ACATCTGAGTGTCTCGGCCATGGCCGAGACACAATATTGTGTCTCGCACCAACAATTGCCCCTGCACCTATTTCCTCGCCTCTGTCGGCCTCTGTTCCTGCTCTGTCTCCTGCCGTACCTCCCATAAAGCCCCACGGTAGTGTTGATCTATCCAGATTAAAGATAACGATGGTGGATCGTCTTGGTCCTTTGCACGAGGGTTGAGGCAAAGCTCAGGTTAAAGAACGCTAGGGTCCCGTGAACATATCACAAGTGACTCTTCATACTGGGGGTCGTACGAGTCCTCCCATCAAGTCAAAGTCATTCTTTATTGGGAAAGCTCCTGTAACCGCCCGCTTGGGGGTGCGTGTTGAAGCCCAGGAGCTTGTTAAGATTCCACACTCGCAAGGGGGTAGATCTAAACGTGCGACTCCTGAGAACGCCAATAAGGCTTTACATCCCTGGAAGAAGACGTGTCCGTCAAAAGATAATGTCATACCTAGGGAGTCAAACCAACAGTCGATAGGTTGCTCCAGTCATCATGACAATGAGTTGTACTATCAGACTGGGGTGCGAATAAGTCTCGGAAGAGAAGTATTCGCGAAACAAACTCATGCGAGAGACTCATCAGAGCAGTATTATCAGAGGTATAATTTCTCCAAGACCGCTCCACAGAGGGTGTCAGTATTCCAAAGGCTTTCCACCGAAGCGTCAAAGCCCAAATCAAGACGCTTCCGTAAGAAAAGATTAGCCAAATTCCCAGAAGTCACCATCATTATAGCTGATAAAGGAAAGTCAAAATAACGCTCGACCAACTCTAGTCCCGACTCTTATCCGGGGATATCCCAACGTATAACTCGGCTCCAAATGGGAACGATTAGATGTAAGGATTATCAGAAGATGCATAAAGGAATATCCTCAGATGATGAAGTATCGGACGCTTGCTCCGTAGTCACTTCATACGAAACAATGTCTAGCATGGGACTAACCCGTGAGGCATTCACCATCACTCCTGATCAGCTAGCTCAAATACTTCAAGAAGCTCTGGCTAAGCAGCAAAAAGAAATTTGAGCTGAAATGAAGATGGAGATGGAATTAGCCATACAATAAATGAGGGAGTTGCAAACTTAGTCTCATCAATAACCTGAGCCAAGTCAGTGAGCTGAAGCTAGTCGTCGTGCTCAAAACAACGCAGATGATAGCAACGCAGATGTGGATGAACATATTTTTTCCAACAGCCATAACACTGGGTGTGGTCCGGTTAACCCTCCTCAACTTCCCCAACATCCCCCAAAGAAAAATGAGGATGGAGATAATAAAATAATGGAAGAGCTTGAGAACAAGGTCAACGCCTTGATTTTTGCTCAAGAGGTGAAGAAGACCAGCATTCCTTGCCCATATCCGAGAGAGTGAGAGTCAA